AATAATATTCGCTTGAAAAAGTCAACTTTCGCGCTTCCTTTCGGAACTTTCTTGACTTAATGCACACATTCTGGAGACTACATTCACTGTAGGGGTGACATTTTGGGTTGTTTTTTGCATCATGCGAGAAAGACACCTTTAACTTTGTTTTTACGAGTGGATGGGGGAAAGGAGAGGTTGAGGAGAAAGGGGGTTGAACAGGGGGGGGGGGGGGTCAAAATTCACTCTAACCTTTTGCCTTTTACATTAGATTGATTCGGGTCTTTTAAATGTATAATGTTGAAACTGTCTCCCGCATATTGAACGTCATTGTTGCTACAAGAATGTTTCCAAATGTCTAACGTTCGGTTTGTATTTTAAAAAGTCAACCTTTACAGTTATAAAGTTTGATTTATCGATTTATTAACGGACTGCTGTTTGATTGATTGAAATATTAATGATTATTTGATGGATTGATTAATTGATTGATGGACTGATTGATTGATAGATAGATTGATTGAATATGTCTTCCGCTAATCTTTATATATATATATATATATATATATATATATATATATATATATATATATATATATATATTTATATATGTATACACATTTGTCTTTTTCGTTATCTTGTTAGTATAACAATGTGTATTTAATTATTAGTCAATTTGTTCTTCTTCTTCTTATACTTTTACTTTGGCTTTTTCACTTTTGAGGGAATATTAAATTGTACTCCTATATCATACAATTTAGAAATAAACATTAAAGCAGATGAAAAGATAGATGGTGAAGACTTTACGCTAGTACACGGTTGATGGATAAGTGAGCAGACAAAATGCTCGATCAATAGATATTTGGACTGGTTGATTAGTAGAAAGGTAGGTAGGCAGGAAGGAAGGAATGTAAGCAGGTAGTCATGTTAGTAAGAATGCATGTAGGTAGGTAGGAAAGTAGGCAGGTAGGTTGGCACTAGTTTAGTGGGATGAAAGGTAGGTAGTTATACCCGTGGGTATGTAGGTAGGTAGGTAGGTAGGTAGGTAGGTAGGTAGGTAGGTAGGTAGGTAGGTAGGTAGGTAGGTAGGTAGGTAGGTAGGTAGGTAGGTAAGACGGTCGGTCGGTCGGTTGGTATGTGGTAGATTGGTAGATTGGTAGGACTGGTAAGTTGGTATGTTGGTAGGTTGGTTTGGAAATAGGCAAGCTGATAGACGGGTTGTCATGTGGACGGATATGGAGATATGTGGGTAGGTAGGTAGGAAGGTAGGTAGGTATGTAGGTAGGTAGGTAAGTAGATTGATTGACAGAGTATGATATTTACCCCCATCGACAGAATAGAGCTTTAAGGAGGCAGGCTTCGACCCAGTCTGTCATGGCTAACTCCGCCTGAGACAGATGCAGCGTCCTAAAAGAATGGCCGAAATAGTCGATACAAATTATCCCAAGACAGGAAACAAACTTGGGTCTTTGCGTTCGACGTGTTTGGAGGGTTTGATACAATTGTGTAAAAATGGTAAACCCCCCCCCCCCAACCACATCCCATGAAGAAAAACTGACCGCCCTCTAACGTGTCAAATAGAGATGATACAGAAGTTTCTCAAACGTGCACTGCGCATCAATTTCGTCGCCTTTCACGAAACTGAAAATGAGTTTGATTCCCACGAGAGGAAGAAGTTTAATCCAGCATTGGTTTGTACACTCCACACTAGTCCCACTAGACTGGCTTAAGGCAATCACTTCAAGACCGATCTAAAAATGTGCACCTGTGGGCTTCAAGCACGTAAAAACATTAGGCGGACATAAAATTGACTTTTGAGATTCGAACAAGGATCGCTCCTATCTCGTTTATTTGTGCGCGTAAAGAGAACCACACTGACATAATAATATTTTATTTAGTGCCTGGAAAAAGAAAGGAAGGGAGACAGAAACAACAGAGGGAAAATAAAGAAGTAATACCTTTCTGTGGCGCCCTCCAACCACCCGCCGCCTCAGTCAAAAAGACAGTTCAAACAATAGTCGATGGAATGCACAAGCTAGAGCATATCGTGAAGAAGGTCGCCAAAGTTGTCAGACGAAAAGAATGGGCTTACGGCAAAAAATGCTTCTACACTGTCTCCAAAGATAAGTTTGACCATAACCAAAATAATGTAGAGTTTTCATGCAAACGTGGAAGATAAAGGAAACGAGAGCAGGTCAGTATGCGATCTGTATGCGAAGTAAAGACGTATTATAGGTGCTTACGCCTATTTAAAAGTATAAGATGAGAAGCAAAGCAAGTAGATTGTGAAACATGTCAAATATATATTCCAAAAGCTACCAAAAGAATTAGAGAAAAGATATATCTCAACAAACATAATATATTATTTTAACCCCTTCACTGCCTCGCCTCAGACTTTATACTTTTTAGCCCTTTAGTGTGAATGGTGGTCCCAGCAGCTCATCAAATTGTCCAGTTTGGCAGGGAAGGGGTTAATGAATACAAAAAATAGTTTTTATAGTTGAAAAAATCAAGTAAACCATACAAGACTATCTCACTAATAACTTCCAAGAAAAAAATTTAAAAAATTCAAGGAAATTGGTGCAGAAAAATATGTGCAAATAGAAAGAATAACATTTAGAAAAACAAAAACAATTTCAACAACAGCAACAAAATATTCGTTTCTTCTTTTCTCACAAACTGACAGATATCTTAAAAGGAACACAATGTACATGATGTCACTGCTGTTTTTTTAACCGTGTTCCCAAATCTGCAGTACAAGCTGTTGTCAGTGGCTACGACAATTGTCTAGTCTAACAGCCAGTTCATGTGGACAGTGAACACTGACCTGAACGAAAAGCAAAGCCTGTGAAGTAAGTTGCGTCTTCATAGTGTTTGGAAATTACATCCCTGTACTGGCAGCTTGAACTACTTTGAGGGAAAAGAAGGGGAAGGAGGAGAGGGAGGAGGGTTCCACTTGTTTCCTCTTCATCTTGACAGTATCTAGACCAGTGCTTGTTCACCTGTTTATATCCTGCTGGCACTTTTGCAACCTCACAGAAACTACGATTTCCGTACCGCACTCTGACACGGGTTTCCAAACAGGGCATAAACTAGAAACTGTCACTATCCAGGTGATCCCCATCGATCACCAAAATTACAAAACCAATCAGAAGTGGGCGATATCGCCCAGATTTGGAAGCCCCGGCATAGACAAAACTGCCAAGATGGTTGCCCTCCCGAAGTCTAGGTGAAGGAAACTTATAAATTCCCTTACGTCCTGAATTCAAAGTCTCTGCCCAGGACCGTATACTTAGCTATAACACAATGGCTTGATAAAAATCCATGACCAACCCCAACTACAAAGAAAACTGTAAATAGACAGCAAATATGGTCGTGACTCCAGTAGATCCATTACTCTGTTCACGTGATAATAGAAAATTTGCCAAGGTCAGAGGTCAAACCTGACGCAAGCCAAGGCCGAGTGCTATACAACGACAAAAAGCAAATGGC